ATTATTATTTTATTTTTGATAAATTTTGTGATAAATCAATCGGTAATTCATAATCCTAATGAATTTATCTGCTAAATTCATGAACCCATTAGGGGTAACCCACCGAAGACTCATTTATTTATACGGGTAAAAAATATAACCTTAACCCACTTAAATTATGGACGGGTTTGGATAAACCATGAGTATTGACCTATTTTGACATACCTACATGTAGGTTCATATGAGTTTTTTTTTATTGTTTAGACAAAGATTGAGCAGTTTCCAATAAAAATTTATTGTTTATGTTTCAATATTTTCTATTATTTCAAATATAGTTTATAAAATAGTTTTGTTGATATAAATAATACTCATATTTATCACCATAAATATATTAAAAATTGAAAAATTTATGAATTTAGAAACTATTAGTTATTTGTATAATTTGTAATTATTTATTTCATGTGATCTAATTTTTTGGTTAAATGAAAATAATTTTTTCCTATGAATTTTAGTCTATTAAATATTTTTTGCGGTTCAATGAGAAGCACGGCCACTTTTCCCATTTTAAAAGTATTAGATGTATTTAACTTTCTCTATCCTCTTGATAATATTCTGGGAGATGCACAACCGCTTTTCCCATTTTTCTATATTTTTAGCCATTTTATAGTTTTATTTTAAAGATAAACTGTTTGGCATGTTCTAGCCGTTTTAGAACTGTAGATTTTCTTTTTTGCAAACAACTTTCTAGCTAATGGGACTAATGTGTAGTTGACAAAAAAAAGAACTTCATATTTTAACTTTTGTTGTTCCTGTCAATTTTACACTCGCTGGTAGCAATACAAAGTATACAACTTGTTTATATTTATTTTTGTTTCATATAATTAAGACATATATGCGCTAACCCGTCTAATACTTGTTTTAAAGTGTATGTACATCTCTATTAATAACTTGTGCATTTTGTGATACTTTTATAAAATCTCACACATGCTTCTAGTGATAGGATCCNTGTATGTTGTCTACAATCCATTNACTAAAACACCATCTTAATGTCATTTGTANGTATATTTATGAACAAAATAATTTACATACCGTTTCATTTTAAGAAATCAGCTTGGGATGACTATTGAGTGTTAATGCAACATTCAGTATCAGAACATTCCTTAAAACTATGAGAAACTTGCTGCACAATCTTAATAAATCAATCTCAACAAAATCTTCAAAGCATATGAAGATTCCTTAAAATTCTCATTAAATACCATTTAATCGATTTTA